TGTTTGGACCAGATAATTTGGATATTAATTTGACTCATCTGTGAGTACTTATTTTTCTTATGATCTGTTGCATTGATTTTTTTATTTGCCCGCTTTATAAATGGGTTATGTGTCTTCAAAAAGGCATTGTTAGTCTTAACTTTTCCTTACAGGGGCATCAATTCCGTGTCAATTTAAATCCCGATTTGAGATCCAGGCACAGTTTTAATTTGCTCTGTCTGATTTTACAAATTTGTGCTGACTGCTAATTTCAATTCAAAATTTGGGGAGTGATTTCAATGGAATTTACAGATTTTGATTAAGGCAGGAGAAGATTAATTGAGACTAGGAGGGCAGAATGGCCCACAGAAGAGGCTACGACTACCTACAAAGGCTCTCGAAATAAGTTGAAGAAAGCGATAAACACGAGCAGAAAGAGCAGTTGGCAGATAATATGTGAAGAACTGGATAAAGATGTTTGGAGGAAAGGATACAAGATCATAAAGAATACATCTAGGAATGAAAGCCCTACGATATGCTACAACGATGAAGCCCTCTTCCGCACAATATAAGCATTCTTCCTCAAGCAAGTTCCACCGGAGCCAGTAGAGGCAGCAATACATTTGAAGAAATTACACGGACCGAGGTATTGACGGAAGCAGGGAGATACCTTTTGGTAGATGATTAATGTCGAGGAGGATCTTTACACATAAACATTTAAAGACCGCCTGACATACATTCAAAATTGATAAACGTCAGGATCTCCCCAATTACATTCAAAATGCAAGAAGAAAATGAAGACCTTAGAGAAATTTTCAGACGTATTGCATTTTCCGAAAGAAGATCTTTCCACCCTTTGAGAGTACTCTCCTCCGACACTCCATTCTGTAGATATGTGCACTGAAAGTTTTCACATCAGCAGTAGATGTATCTCGTCCAGACATTCTACTTGCCCTTTATGAATGAATACCCTTTTCCGACACTTCGTTATATTTATATTTCCTCCAAACGATTCATTTTACCTTTGTGAGTACTCTTCTCCGACAAACCGTTTTCGAGATATTCGTTTTTAAAGGTTTAATAGGACCAACGGATATATTCCTTCAAGACCAACCGTCCCTTGTGAGTACCCTCTTCTGACAATCTGTTCTTGAGATATAAGAAATTACATCCGATCACGATAAGGGGTAGAGGAATAGGACTATGGTTGGTAGAAATTAATTCCTTTCGTTGAGACCTTTCATTACAAGACCATGAAGGATAAAACCAGCCCCCCCCTCCTTCGTTATCCAATGATCCCGAAAAGGAGTCCCGCCGGAAAGTTATAGTTTGTAGAAGCCAATAATTCATTTCGATGAGACATAGATGATTGAACGTGTATTCAGCCCTCACTCCTCTTTTAATAGTTTTATTTGGCACCACTAAAAGGATCCGTATGCAAAATTGGAGACCAATTGGTTGTCACGTGTAAAAGTTATGCACGTTTCATTTTCAAAAACAGTATCTCGAAAAATAGTAATTCATTTAAGACAACAAAATGTGATGGCCGTTTGACACATCTTCAAAGTATAGGCTACCTATTACACTGCAGCAAATGCCAGGTCCATTCCCTAAAAGTAGTTCAAAACCGGAGGACTGGGTCCGAACGGATGGACATATGGACGGACTGGTGTTAGGATGCTAAAAATGAGCTAAAAACCGAAGTCGACAGTCACTGGAATTTGGATATTTTATTGCACCACAATAGACATGTTTCACAGTATATTCGATTTCGTAAATTCACCCGCTATTTAGGTCGACGTACAAATAAAATAGACGTACGCCATCTTGAAGTATGAATTTAAAAAAAAAGACACACAAAAACCTAGATATAACCAGAAGTTCCGTGCGTTTCTGAGAAAAAACATTAAAAAAAAAGGTTACTCCTTTTTAGCATATTTGTTGTTTGGAATATTCGTATAAGCAATTTTTAGCTTTCTGTGGTAACTAACTAATGGGATTAACCAATTCGAAAGCGACCTTTTGAACACGCTGGCCGCGGAACGTTATTTAACTACGTGCGACGATATTAAAAGTTACGAGAATTTTATAGGTCACAAAGAAACTGACAATGAGTGTAATGTGATACTAATTTACCATTACATACAGCATTATTAGTGGGAAACAATAGTGTCGTAAATTTCTTTAAACTTTACGATCGTTCATGGGCAATCAATATCGATAGCACCTATGTGAAACATTATCTTTAACATACTATTCGAGATACTATCTGTTTATGAAGGTGCGGCGGTGTAGAATATACACCAAAAAACTCGGATTTCTAATATTGACCTATTTTGTGATAATAATACTTATTCCAACGGGCAATAACCACGTTAATTTACTCGAAGTGCTAACCACGTTTTCTCGTTATATGAAAGAATCGTGCATACCGTAGCTTTAAAACCATATTTTCAATGATTAATGTTAGATATAAGAATATCGAAATATATTGTTACCTATATGAAGAATTGTACCTGATATGCAATTCTATACTTTTGTTTTGAAATATCGATCAAATTGCACAATTGTTATACCATTGAAGTAATGCAAGGAAACCTACAAAATTTCAATTCGGCTCAAAGAACCAATTGACGTTAATATTTAAGGTCGTAAGTATCAGTTATAACATTAATTCTTATTTTAAGATTCTGCCAGAGTGAATTCGTTTTTCTGGTGCATGACTTCGCCTTTTCTCACCCTATCACTGTCTCTCCGAGACCTGAAAATTCGTAATTTTACCACAAAACTTTGCACTAGAAACAGATTAGGTGATAGCAAACACCCCTGCCATAACTGGACTGTGGTGCTAAGGGTCCCTGGTTCGAATCCGGGTTCGGGCATGGATATTTCTAAATGTATAGTGGGTTGTGTTGGTAGAGCAGCCTTGGCTGAAACCCCGTCCACTCAAAAATAAAGGAAAAATTAAAAAAAATAATAAAAAAAATAAATAACTACCACACATGCCGTTCATCAGAAATATGGACATTGTGCTATTCCACACGTACTGTTCGTTTCACCCTCATACAGCCTCCCCAAACAGAATCGAGATATATCGTGTTGTGATAGGATGGCTCTTTTTTACGACGACTTATTCCTTCGTATAAGTCCACTGTAGGGTAACGGCTCCTCATTGTTGCAAGGTGATGGTGAACACCGTTGGATAGGGACTCGAAACTGTAAGCTTGTAAGCTCTTCTCGAGTATCGTTTACGCACCGCGTACAAAACCGTTGTACATAAAAACAGAGATTGAACCTTAGATCATAGCGTTGTAGGGGTGTGCGGTAAATTCGCCCCGGAAAACTCGCCCCGGTAAATTCGCCCCCGAAAATTCGCCCCCGGAATATTCGCCCCCAAGTAAATTCGCCCCCGGAATATTCGCCCCCAAGTAAATTCGCCCCCGGAATATTCGCCCCCAAGTAAATTCGCCCCCGGAATGTTCGCCCCAAGTAAATTCGCCCCCAACAAATTCGCCCCCGGAATATTCGCCCCCAACAAATTCTCCTCCGAATAATTCGCGCTTAGAAGATTCGCCCCCGTAGGATTAGCCTCATAACATTTATTAACCCTCGGAAGTAATAGGTTGGTTTGGTAACATATTCCAATCCCGTAGATACCTCATTAAACTTTTTTTATCGTTATCCCTTTCAAAATTACGTAGTTCTTCACTTTGTTATTGTATCATAGTCTAATGGAAATAATGTATTTTTACCAAGAAAATATTTGGTTGGCCTACAGGAGCAAGGTACAAACTTAAAAACAGTGCGGTAATGGAGCTCATTATCAAACCGCAAACAATTGACAACGGTTCGCAGAAAAAAATTTATTCCGTTTCATCCCTCGCTATTTCATCTTGATCTTGCGATCCATAATCTAATTACACAATGACAATTTTAAACAAGATACAGTTATTTAGAAATAGCTATTTGTGTATTAAGAGCGCAAAATGATATATTGTCGATTGAAAGAGACAGTTGACGCGCGACGAAGGAGCGCGGCAATCTCTTGAAATCGACAATCAATTTGCGCTCGAATTACACACAAGATTTTTTCTACAATCGATCAGTTCACATATTTCCAGAAATTTAAATTTCTCACTCAAATCATTTTAATCTTATTCCCAAATGAAAGATGTCATTTACTCGTTGTCATTGGATACTCTGAGCAATGCATATTTGATTTATAGTTAATAATTGGGAGAGCGAGCGTTTTTTTCTATTTTGCGCTTATAAGCGACAAAGTGACATTCCTCGAAAAAGATGACGTTTGCGTTGTCAGATACGAGCGTAAATGCCTACTTTGGATATCGATTGTAGAAAAAGGTATTTAAATGTTTGTAAAATAGCACACAGGAATGATATAAATACGAAAATGTAACACGATTTTGGCTTTGGTAACACCTCAAATTAAAATAAATAAAAGAAGAAATAAATTTTATTATATAAAATATTATAAAGTATTACTTATAGTTGCTACAAATGCTATTTACCACATCAAAATGCACATCACTGCTGTGGTCCAGATAGACTGAACCACGAATATTATTATTGCATCGCGCCGGATCTGGAGAAATGATATGCCACGTCAAAACGTTTCCAAACTTTGACCATACATATATCTTTATGCCCAAAAGATTCGCGGTGGCCATTATTTCCTCGCTAGCCGCCCATGTTCCTTCAGAAGCCATCTCCGGTCTTGGGTTGTCAGCTCCTTCCGCAGACTGTGAATACTCTTCACAGATGATCCTACGGAACACTGCATGTTGTGATTGGTCACCTGTGATGGTAAAACAAATTGATCTAAAAAAGCAGTTCCCGTCCCCAACTATGCTATAAGTTTTACGTGGTGGGTTCCTTCTCGCAAAGGGAACTCCTAATGTGTTCGGAACAGTAGCCGATTTCCTAAAGAATTTTATGGGGCCCAAATTTTTGCATAAGAGCCGCTGCTCTTTCACCGATAAGGGTACGTACATTAACTCTTCTTCCATTGTTTGTACAGATTTTAACATTAAATCATTGCTGTCAGGTTCTTTAACTTGCATCGTTTCTGATTGGCATTCATTATCACCGAGATTATCACCACCTTCTTCATCTACATCTGAGTTGTCATCGCTTGAATGAGATGATTCTTTTGTAGGAACTAAACTTCCCGAGACACATGCCCCAACTGCCGCTAGATATACCAAATGTTCGTGGTTACCTTTGTAGAATTGGTACCTTTGGACTATTGTTACAATTCGACTGTCCAGGTTTTCGTATAACTTCATTCTGCAGCGCAATTTTCCTCCAACCTCCAAAGCTTTTCTGTCAAAAACTGCGTCTGATTCTGCTTCCATTAGCTTTTGTATAAATAAATAAAAGGACAGGTGTTTCCTCATGCAAATTTGCTTAAATTTTAGATGCCACCCCTCCACGGAATTTATTGTCCTGGGTAAGTTTTTTTCTACGCGGTCATAGCAATTCCATGTTGAAGGAGGAAATTTTGGGGGTATCACCTTTCTTCCGACTGTCTTCCCTTTCACGTAATTTTTTTCTAAATGAGCGCACAATGGAAGAAGTCTGGAGTCAATTGCATCGACCAAGTCATCGAAAACTTTCTGAAATAATAATAAAATAATAATAATAATAATAATAATCCACCAGGAGCTTGCATTAAAGCACAAACTCGTACCCACACGAACACAATATTACAAATATACACCAACAAACATCCTCGAAAACGACGAATTCAAATTATACTGGGATAGGACATTACACACAGACAAGACAATACCACATTAACAGACCAGACATTACACTTATTCACAAAAGAACTAACAAGACACATCTAATAGACATAGCAATACCAAACGACGCGAACCTTCTAGATAAGGAGCAAGAGAAAATTGAAAAATACACTCCACTTGCAATTGAAGTAAAAGAGGTATGGAAGATGGATCCAGTGACAATAGTACCAATGATGATATCCGTTACCGGACTAACAGCGAAAACTTTTACACGCTACTTGCACACGTTAGAACTTCCGGAATACCTGCACACCAACATGCAAAAGGCCATACTATTGAAAACGGCTAACATCGTTAGAAGGTTCCTTAACCAATGACAAGTCACATCGCTGCATGAAGACTTGGTCAAGAACCGTCTCATGTACCACAACCGCTATTAGTGTGAAAATAAACCAATTAATAATAATTTTTGCAGTGACATCATGAGGTGCATCTGACATATACCTATGTAAACAATTTTACTGCTTACCTGTATATCGGACTCGGGGACAAAAGATAGTGCAACAAGGCTGTGGAAGCCGCTTCTAAGGTCTTTTTCTTCTATCTTGTTGTAGGCTTCTTTGAGATGTGGAATTTTCTGTACTCTTCTCCATAAAATTTGAGAAAAATGGAAAAGGCATCCGGCCAGCTTAGCCTGCGGAAAGCATGCCTTAACTGCGTTGATGGCAGCCGCTTCAAAGTCGCTGGCAACGTATTCAGGACAGAGTTCTTTACCAGTTCTTTGTTTCACTTCGTCTTTTACAGCCTCGAAAAGGACTTTATACGACTGTTCATCTTTACTGCTCATTAGGCTGTATACGCACGGGAGGAATTTGTTAAAAAAGTCACAATGAATGGTGTAAAGTTGATAAGCGATATTTGGAACTGTAGAAAATGTTCCATCAATGATATAAAACTTCGCGTTTACCAGTTGACGTAAGCCATCGTTGGAACAAAATATCAATTGACGGTTTTTGTCTTGAGCGCCAGAATCAAAAATTAACCATCTTCCACCATTAAACGATGAAAATTGGACAGGTAGTTCATCCGGAACTGCATAAATGTCTTTGGGCTGTTTATCATACCCTTGGGATTGGGCATTTCTAATGGTTCTCTTCAAAGATTCCTTATGTGGCAACTTTGAAATTACTTCAAGGTCTGGGTTATGTTCAACCATCTTTTTTAAGTAAATTTCGGAAGGCATTGTTTGAGGATGCTGTTTAGCTGCCATTTTCATGTTTGCCGTTATCACTTTAGAATGTGCTGAACCCCAATCGGAACCATGGCTATGATTGGGTATTGGACCTCTAGCAATTGCCTCTTCATTTGGCGTAAGCCAAAGTCTGGCCTGACAAGTGCTACCTAGAATCTTCGTACCTGCTCGAAAGCGACATCTCCACGCTGATGTTCCATCTTTCAGTTGTTTTCCGAAAACATACATAAAACCATCATGCACTAAGCATTTCTTGCCTCTTTCAGTTGTTGTGAAATTCGGCATGGTATTCGTTGAGAAGGTGTACAGAATCTGCTTTAAGAATGCTGCTGTCGTGTTTTTATTCTCACTTATAGATTCGTACGAGTTCCAAAGATGTGAAGTACAAAGAGTGGTTATTGTCTGAAGACGAGACATACAAACATTCCTCTCTCAGTTACATTTGAACGTAGGCGTCCTTCGAGACAGGATTACACATTGTCTTTGAAATTTTTAAGCAACCGATGCATTTTCCCGATTAAATAAATATTTGCAAAAATGACAATATTTGGAACTCAATACGGCGAGACTGGCAACTCGAAATTGTTCATATTCAATCGTCTTTCACCTGTAAAAGGCTGATTCAACGGTTCAACGTCAACCGTATGTTTACAATACATTTTACAACAAATTGCGTTTACAAAGGAGTCGAATTACTCATTTATGGATGTATTGAAATGTTTTTTTCATCAATGTATAAACAAAGGGTGATTCTTTCTTTAGACTTACATTTGAAAATTGGTCCAGATTTGATGTAGGTACCTAAATTAGTGTTGAAAAACACCAACTTAGGTGAAGTTTGCTGAAGTATCAAATCATAATTAAAATAATCTAAAAAAATCTAACTCGAAACTCCCATTTCTTTAAAATATTAAAAAAAGTTGGCTGATATATATATTAGTTAAGTAGGAATTAGTCTGCTACGGTACTCTTGTACTCGTTTCAAATTCATCCCGTCGGATCAAACTTAAATTTGAGAATTTTGATTTTCAATCAAATAAACTCTTCGTCTATTAGGATTGTAATATTTAAAATCTTATAAAATCGTGCACAACATTCGGTTTTTTAAGTAAATCTAACTACCTAATTAAAAAATAATGCAAAACTTACCAGCACCACGTGAAACCGATCTTCTTCAATACTCAAAACTATTTTTTTTCCCACAGGTTTATACCAAACTCCGAAAGTTAAAAAAAACACCGTAGAATATAATCGTTACCTAACCAAAAATCAAAGTTCGTATTCGCGCCAAAATATAACAAGTAGGAACATAAAAAGTTTCAAAACACATCCATCACCAATGACCAAACGAGCCATCAAACGTTCTGTTAGGAAGAAATTAAGAAGCTAACAACTCAGTCAATCAAAAATGTCATTTAAATTAGATTATAATATATTACCTTCTTTTGTAATACAAGAATTAAAGTGGATTTTCCATATGTCATGTCTGAAATAATAGAAGTCATTAAGTCATTTTGAATACAGGATTTATTTTCTTTGGATGTCAAATCCTTTGCAAATCACCCTTACTTGATTCAACCTTATCTTAATAGCCTATTCATATTTTAGTTAACAGGATTAATAAATCTTATGGGGCGAATCCTACAGAAGCGGAATCGCCGGGGGCGAATCTTCCAGAAGCGAATTTGTCCGGGGCGAACTTGCCGGGGGCGAATTTTCCGGGGCGAATCTTACGGAGGCGAATAGTCCTGGGGCGAATTTACGTGGGGGCGAATTTTCTTGGGGGCGAATTTTCTTGGGGGCGAATTTTCTTGGGGGCGAATTTTCCGGGGCGAATCTTACGGAGGCGAATAGTCCGGGGGCGAATTTACTTGGGGGCGAGTTTTCGTGGGGGCGAATATTCCGGGGGCGAATTTTCAGGGGCGAATTTACCGGGGCGAATTTTCGGGGGCGAATCATCCTACGATCGTTGTAGGACCGATAGTACATACCTAAATCCTTTTTCCATTTGGGAAAATGGACTAAAATAACAAGTTACTTTAACTTCGTCCTGTTTTTCTAGGATAACTAAACTTTTCATTTGAAATTCTCACTAAATAAATAGAAGATTTTGATGAATTATTATTATTCTCACTTCACAATTATTTTATAGACATTCCACAAAATATCAAAATCAATAAAGTCAACGTGGTTAGCTTTAACATTATACGTAATATTAAACTTCAGTGCGCCGATTTTGGAGTTATTAGGGAACATGTGAAACCCTTAGCTACCCTCACACCGTAGGGTGCGAGGATTTGGTATAATTACCAGCAAACACCTTCCGAATGTAAGATTAGGGATATCGCAAAGTACCCTGAGTGGAAAAAAATCTGAGCAGTATTCAGATCAACACCAAAAGGGGTGTAAGTGTAACGTCTCTTATCTATAGAGAACGAACTTAATCCTAGCAAATCTCAACACGGCATTGTGCATAAGCATACAAAATAAGCCATTATCGCTTTAAATTTGACTTCTGAATTACATTAATAAAACTAATGCCTATGCGAGAAAAGAGCAATCGGTAAATTTGCCCGTTTTGGAATGATAGATACCATTTCAGTTTCCTAAGAAGGATTGAAGCGTATCACCAACGATCTAAAGGAGAATAGTTACGTACATTAGAGGTACTTGAAAACCGAGCCTACAATAAGACGTGTTCGTTAGATCCCATCTGGCCCTTTTCTACGTCCCTTGAAGAAAAATCTTTTTACGACAGCTGCTACGATGATGCTCTTAGTTTCGCGCCTCATTTACTACCTAACCTCTGCCATCATTCATACGAGGCTACCGCAATAAGCTCCGCATTCTGACTTTATAATTGAGTGTAGGTAAATATATCATCGTGTGTGTAATGTATACGTCTGGCTTATTTAAGCCCGGGATTACGATCACGCAGAATAAATTGAATATATATGAAATTTTTCTATGTAAATAACCGTCGAGACGCATTCTTACATTTCCACGCTCACGTCACATAAATGATAATTGACGATGGTAGTTTTAGAGCTACCGTTGCTATTAATTACGAGCGAGAGTAGAACCAGAAGAATTTAAAGCATTACATCGAATAGAAACAGAAAACATTTCGCTCCAGAGACGTATAAATGTTTATACCTGACAGCCTGCAGACGCTTGTAATACAAAATCAACGTCATATAAACATAAGCCTTTTTTGCGCAGATGTTCCCATTACAAATAATTTAATGAAATATACCGACGGTATGCGCTGGAACGATTCCAACTGTTTTGTATACATTTTTTGTTCTTCAGTAGTTGCAGGCCGTAGATCTCGGTCTTCCTTTGATCCTAAGGGAATGTAGAAATAATGTGCGTACTCTGTTCGCGGGTAATTTACTACAACGATGTATTAATCAGAGCACCCCTAATATATTTCTCTAGAAAACTGAAAGTGTTCACATTCGTATGGACTATATTTATTACCTGTGATAAAGGCGCATTAAAGTTTCAATGAACAGCATATTTTTCTTACAATCTTAGTTGTGGTGCAGTCCTTTACCCTTCGTTTCCATCAATTTCCACAGCTTTGCCTACTTACTATGGTAGCTCCCTCCGTCTTTAAAGTTAAATTGCGTGTTGAAATTCCTCGTGTATCTGGAGATATCGTACTGTTATTATAATAAATAAATTGAAGAAAAGTACGATGATTTGTTTAAAACTAATCCGAAATACCTATACGTGCGCCAAAATCTTATTTCATCAAGAAGGTGACAGTTTTATACATACATGTGCTAAGACTTCACTTCTAGCATATAAATTGGGTTTTACAATTTTTGTTGCTTTACACATCATGTTCTTCATGAGCTTGACATAATCAATACCTTTGCCAGTCATTCTTATAATGCAGCTTTAAATAAATGGATTATTTTCGATTCGTACTTAGTAAATGGTTATAGAGGAACCGAAAACAAGTTCTCGAAAGAAATATGCAATTCTCACAGCTTAGCCCTTCTGGTCGACCCTATTGACCCTCCTCCATCTCACGGAGAGCTGAGCACTGAAAATAGCTCGAAATGGATGAAAGAATGGGATGTAGCGATCTTACGGACGAGGTTACAAAGATGGAAGGAGGTACAGGGACCTAGGCTCAAAGCTCTAATCCCGGAGCTCCGGATTTGAGTGACTCAGAACGTGAATTTGTACACCTGAAGCAGAGATAAAGGAAATCCTTGGAAAGCTAAACACATGGCCGGATCTAATTCGTCAAGAAAAAGTTTTTGAAACAGTCGAGAAACTTCGCGCGATAATTGCGGCGCACGAAAAGAAGGAAGTGGTAAAGAAACCGACTCAAGAAGACGGGTACTGGAAAAGCGGAAATCGTGTCGTGGTGACATGCGCCTACGATTTGGTAACACACATTAATCAAACTGCAAAATCTCAAAAAAGAATTCGTTCTAAAATAATCACAGCAATAAATACCCAAAATCACAGAAATATGAGCTTAGGCTTAAGGTCGGTCAATTTATTAGATAGATACAGGATGTTCTTAAATATGATGGCTTATTTTATGACTAAAGGTTCATTTAAACATAGGTCCACAAATGCTTCGTTATCGATCTACAGGGTGTTAAAAATTCAAAATGTTTTAAGTGTTTTCTTTATGTCTTCTTCAGTTTTTGAGATATTTCGTTCAAATTTGAAATATAAGTTTCGCTGAAGGCCTGACATAATTGGTCATGTCAATGGTAGAATGTACAGGGTGTGTTTCCAGAGGTCATGTTCCATTTTTTTTACCTCTGAACTTTTTTCGATATCATAATTATTACTACCCAGTACAAGTGCAAGGACCACTTATCAATTTCACAGAAAGTATAAAACGTGTTCAAAGCGGAACCTCTATTAATTAATTGAGCTACGAAAGTGATTAAATCAAAACGATTCCTTTAAAATTGTCCCGAAAATATATATGTACGTAGCATGCTTAAAAAAGAGGAACATATAAAAAATTACAGGTATCCGCATTCAAAGAATGATCCACAATCCTATATTTAAAGGAATTTCTCCTTTATTTGTTGAATAATGGATACTTTAATTTAATCATCTAATTAGGACATAATTAGCAGAGGTACAAAGGGGACCTTTAATTTCGCCAGAAGGTATGAGGTGCAATCTAAGCTAAGATTTAGATCACTGAAAAATTCATGACGTCACACAAATATTTTTTCCAATTTGGCACTTTTCTATAAAAGATTAAAAAAAGAACTATCCGTACGAATAATGCGCTTAGATTGTAAATTGCCAAAAACCATGTAGATCGGACAAATAGAAATAATTATAATTAGTAATTATAATTAGTAATTAGTCCAGGGAATAGAGGGTTTTAACTTGCAAAACGAGAAGTAGTTCCAATTTTTTTTGCATGTCATAGACAGTCATCTGGAGGTTAAGAATCTAAGTTTTCGACCTTCCACCCCTTGTGCTTCCCCCGTACCATCCCCCAAAACCCCTGAAATTTGGTTGGTTTCTTAGTTTTTCAATCATATCTTTGTAATGGTTCACTTTAGAAAAAAATATTGTCATCAGAAATTGTAGATCATAAAATTCTACACAACTTTGACAAAAACTACTTCTTTGTGAAATGTTTATTAAAAAAGATATGGAGCTTGAGAGTTGGTTAT